CCCAACCGGGACTAGAACCCGGTGTGCCGGTGCCGCAAGGCGGAGGATTAGCCTAGTGAGCCGCAGCGCCAGCCTGCTTTTGTTCTTAATTATAAATATATTGTTACTAGAAAACATATATCAGAAGAAATTGTAATACTAATTCAGGAATGAAATTAGCTTTCTTTCTTTTTTTCTTTTAAGGTTTATTTATTTGAAAGTCAGAGATACAGATAGGGAGAGAGAGAGAGGGAGAGGGAGAGGGAGAGGGAGAGAGAGAGAGAGAGAGAGAGATCGATCCTCTACCCACTGGTTCACTCCACAGATGGCCTCAGTGGCTGGGGCTGGGCCATGCTGAAGGCTGGAGCCAGGAGCTTCTTGCAAGTCTCCCATGTGGGTGCATCTTCTGATAATTTCTCCCAGGCCATTAGCAGGGAGCTGGATGGGAAGTGGAGCCTCTAGTACTCTAACTGGCATCCATATGGGATGCCTGCCAGCATTATAGGTGGTGGCTTTACCTGCTATGCTGCAATGCTGGCCCCAAGCTATATATTTTTCAAGGAAAACTAAGACTCAGATGACATAAAAAATAATAATATCAAATTTTTCTGAAATCCACATGAAAAAATACAAAAACTTTATTGTTGCAGTGAGCAATTTTTTTTAAAAAAAGATATTTATTTATTTGAGTGGTAGAGTTACAGATAGTGAGAGGGAGAGAAAGAGAGAAAGGTCTTCCTTCCGTTGGTTCACTCCCCAAATGGCTGCCATGGCCGGAGCTATGTGGATCCAAAGCCGGGAGTCAGGTGCTTCTTCCAGGTCTCCCATGCAGGTGCAGGGCACCAAGGACTTGGGTCGTCTTCCACTGCCCTCCCAGGCCATAGCAGAGAGCTGGATTGGAAGAGGAGCAGCCAAACTAGAACCGGTGACCATATGGGATGCCAGCGCCACAGGAAGAGGATTAACCTACTACGCCACAGTGCCAGCCCCAAGTACTTTGTTATTATTTCAGATATTTTAGTACATTATAATGGTGTCAATTCATGACCTATCCGTTTAAATACTGATGATTATGTTAGTGTTCATTTTCTTCATTGTTGCCTTTATGAGAAATAAGTTCAGGGCTGGTGCTGTGGCACAGCAGATTAAAGCCCCGGCCTGAAGCATCCCATATGGACACCGTTTCTAGTCCTGGTAACTCTTCTTCCAATCCAGCTCTCTGCTATGGCCTGGGAAACAGTAGAGGATGGCCCAAATCTTTGGGCCCTTGCACCCGCGTGGGAGACCTGGAAGAAGCTCCTGGCTTCGGATCGGCACAGCTCCAGCAGTTGCAGCCATCTGGGGAGTGAACCAGCAGATGGAAGACCTCTCTCTCTGTCTCTACCTCTCTTTATCTCTTTCAAATAAATAAAATAAATATTTTAAAACTATAAAAAAGGAAAAACAAGTTCATGGAGTGTCCTTCCCTGCTAAAAATCAATGAGCTACAATGACATGGAGGAAGCTTAAATGTTACTAAATGAAAGAAGCCAATTTAAAAAGGCTGTTTACTGTATGATACTGTGTGGGGGAGGGAAGTTCTATCATGTTCAAAACTATAATAATGATAAATAATAAACCAAACATTTTAATACTCCATCATAGTTCTTACAATCCCTACTATTCACCACTTTAGCAATATGAGCTTTATTGACCCTTTCCTCTGAATGTATTTTAGTCTCAGAAGTGACTTGTCAATCTTGTGTCCTTTTCCATTCAAGTGACAGTAAAGTCTGTTTAGGCTGAGGGCTTGGGAGCATGCTTGCTTTTGCACACACTATTTCATTTAATCTTATGATGTAAAGATCATAGTCCTCCATGTAAAACTAATAAGGCCATATTTTAAGTGGTTTATAATTCCATGTATCTAGACTATGGCTAGAGATTATTTTTATTATTTTATATGTGCTTAAGGTGGAGTATATCCTGGTGATTTGGTAACATCTGTAACAATTTATATGATTAGTTAGCCCATGAAAAACTCCATTACTAAAAGCTTGGGAGAGCTGGAAATAGAAACCTACCCTTTGGTTTGGAGTATTGCAAAGCTCTTCTCAAAAGAGCATGCCATTCTTCTTGCCTGAAAATCTAAAATGCCATCATTGATGCAGTCCACAGCTAGGAAAAGGAGGAACATTGGTTTAGAAAATTTTTTATGAGGGCCGGCACCTGGCACTGTGGCTCACTTGGTTAATCCTCCACCTGCAGTGCTGGCATCTCATATGGACGCCGGTTCTAGTCCCGGTTGCTCCTCTTCCAGTCCAGCTCTCTGCTGTGGCCCGGGAGGGCAGCGGAGGATAGGCCAAGTGCTTGGGCTCCTGCACCCGCATGGGAGACCAGGAGGAAGCACCTGGCTCCTGGCTTCGGATCGTCGAAGTGCCGTCCGAGCGTCCATTTGAGGAGTGAACCAACGGAAGGAAGACCTTTCTCTCTGGCTCTCTCTTTCACTGTCTATAACTCTACCTGTCAAAAAAAGAAAGAAAGAAAGAAAATTTATAATGAGAACAGTTAGGAGAGATTTGTATTAGGCAGGTAACCTTACCTTCAGTTTTCATGTTGCTGTATCATGTTCACAGTGATGATCTACATTTCTTAAATGCCAAATTCTTTGCAGAGATTTTGAATGCTTTGGGTGGTCACATCTAGGGGAAACCACAGAGTTTGTGTAGCCAAGACCTTCATTTCCGATAAGAAACTACAGAGAGTAAAATGTCTAATCCAAGGGTCCTTCTATCTTTGGTAGTAGTCTTTTTTTTTTTTTTAAAGATTTATTTATTTATTTCAAAGTAGAGTTACACAGAGGGAAGAAAGGCAGAGAGAGAGAAAGAGGTCTTCCATCTGCTGGTTCACTCCCCAATTGGCCACAATGGCTAGAGCTGTGCCGATCCAAAACCAGGAGCCACGAGCTTCTTCCAGTTCTCCCACATGGGTGCAGAGGCCCAAGGACTTGGGCCATCTTCTACTGCTTTCCCAGGCCACAAGAGAGCTGGATCGGAAGTGGAGCAGCCGGGTCTCTAACTAGCACCCATATGGGATGCAGGCTCTTCAGGCCAGGGCGTTAACCTGCTGCGCCACAGTGCCGGCCCCTGGTAGTAGTCTTTAGCTCTCTCTCACTGAAAATTAGCATTATGAAATTCTTTTTTTTTTTTTTTTACCAAGAAGCAGCATAAGGTAGTATTTGTAGTTTAATAACTATATGGGAAGAATTTTATGAAGAACAGAGTATAGGAAACCAGCTTTATCACAATCTGTATCTGGGGCATGGGAGAAGAGAAAAAAAAACACAAGTTCTGTTGGTGTATTTGTAGTTCTCTATGGAAAGCTCCACACTGGCATTCTTTTGGTCTTGCCATCATTGTGGTTAGAAAATTGAAAGGCAGAAGAATCAGTTGTGTTTTTTATAAATTTTGTCCCTGCAAAATGGCAGCCATCACTGGGCCTTATAATTCTAGATGCCATCTGATATAAAATTTGTAGAAGAGAATTCTCTGAAATATAAGTAATCACAGTAGGTGATTATTAATAAAGAGGTACAATTCTTAGAATTTTAGAGCTGAAGATACTGTGCTGGGCATCAATACTATGGTATCTGGATTCACCTCTATGCTACAGGAGTTACGATCTAACAGACATTAACACCAATTACTGTAATGCAACTCAGCATACTACAAGGCTGTATATAGAGTTCAAATGAAAGTAAGATGACTTCAGATTCATGTTACAGGGAAAAATATGGCTTTTGCTAGAACATAAATAGGTGCAGACAGGAGGAAACTATGTCAGTGGTTAGAATCTGTAATTGCTTAGACAGGCATAGAGTATTTTACTAGGGAGATAAAGAATGGAGCCCTCTGGCCAGAACAGTGGGTTTGTTTAGAGGCCAGTAGAAGGCAGGGTTCTGGATGCACTCTAGTAGGAAGGCAGCCTTCATCTTGGTGCATCCACACTAAGTTCTTAGAAAGCTCCTTTCTAAGGCAGACTAGCATATTTGATTTGAATGTGCAAAGTAGAACTGATACTGGGATATCAGGGAAGGGTGACTGTATAATTTTTTTATTTAATTTGTGCACTTTAAGGAGCTATGGGTCAAGCATTTATTTATTAAAGAAGTTTGTATTAGTTGGCCTCTTTTTATTAGGGAAGATAGTTCAGTGTCCATTAATTTTGACACCAAAATGCCTGTCACTCTCCGGGGAGCAGAAGTAGTTCTCATGTTATCAGGATGAAGTTTAAAGAGAAAAGCTCAACTTCCTTGGCCATTTCATATGATAACATCTTGAACTTCTTGTTCAGTTCTGTTTCCTTTTGGGCAAGCGAAGACTTAAAATTATAGCTAATCCAGTTTTCCTCTTGGAGAATCAAATCTTTGGTCAGCTTGCAACCTGCACACTTTTCTGTGAATCTCTTTTAATTAATACTCTTAATTAAAATTCTGCAAATGTGGTTTATATGTATGCTAATAGAAGCAATCAGATGTCAGTGCAGTCTTAATTTAATGAGGATTGTTAATTATGCTTTGAGGCCAGTGCTGTGGCATAGTGGGTAAAGCTGACGCCTGCAGTGCTGGTGTCCCATTTGGGCGCTGGTTTGAGTCCCAGCTGCTCCACTTCTGATCCAGCTCTCTGCTATGGCCTGGAAAAGCAGTGGAAGATCGCCCAAGCCCTTGGGCCCCTGCATCTGTGTGGGAAGACCTGGCAGAAGCTCCTGGCTCCTGGCTTCAGATCAGCCCAGCTCCTGCTGTTGCAGCCACTTGGGGAACGAACCAGCAGATGGAAGACCTCTCTCTGCCTCTGTCTCTGCCTCTCTATAACTTTGCGTTTCAAAAAATAAATATATCTTTAAATAAATTATCCTTCCTGGGAGTTTTTTCATGTGGTCAGTTTTGTCTGAAAGTTTTATGGTTAATAGGCATAATTATTTTTAAGATGTTCCACCATGATGAAAGTTTATCCTCACATAGGCATGTTCTTTACCTCTTAAAGGACTTTCATCAGAAGTTGCTGCACCTTTAATGCAAGAAATGATACAAAGTGCAGCCACTCATGCTGCTGATGATGAAGAGGCTGCTGAAGTAAATGCTAACGATCAACCAGAATCTCCAACGCTAGTTCTGCAATCATTGTTCTCACTTATACGAGGTGAAGTTGAACAGTTGGATTCAAGAGCACTTCCCCTTTGCCTTCATCAGGTACTGGGTTTAAAACCTTCACCTTCAGCATCATTAAAATTCTGTGCTAGTGTTTGGAATAATCTAAAAACCAAATTCTCTGCGGTTGATTCTATCCCATTCATTGGTGGTGAGCCCAAGGGGACAGTGACTCTGGATCATTGACTGATGGGAAATCTGACATATCATTCACTGGTGGCCATGTCTAGGCCCTGAATAAATCATTAGAATGGCTAATTCCCTATATTTTGTCATGAAGCTGTACAAATAAGAGTCAACATAGCAAGAGCCTACTAATCACCAACTAGGTATCCAAACCTAGGCTAGATACTGGGAAACCAAAAATTACCTAACAGAGTATGTCCTTAATAAAGCCTCTGTGCATAGGAGAAACAGGTAAATAAATATAGAATCATGTAGTTAAGTGTTAGAGTAGAAATGATGTTCAGCAATACGAAATGGTGGTTAACCTTGTCCCATAGGCATTAAGAAAAGAAGGTAACTCTTGAGCTGACTTTTATGGGATGATTAAATGCTCACTAGAGCTCACAAAACAAAGTAAACTGGTACCAGAAGAAATGCATGATTGGGATTCTGCTGGAGGAAGAGTTAGAAATAGACATAGAAAGTGAAATTGTATGGCTGGTGAAATTAATGCAAAACTTCTAAAAATTTTTATTTAGTTTATGTTATGTATTTAAAAGATAAACACTGAGAAAGACAGAAATTCCCATATGCTGGCTTATTCTCTAAATATCTGCAATGGCTGGGTCAAAATGAGAAGATAGGATTCACTCTGAGTCTCTCATGTGGGTTGCTGGGATCCAACTACTTGAACCATCTCTTGCTGTCTCTCAAGCACACATTAGCAGGAAGCTGAAATCAGGAGTGGAACCAAGATTTGAATGCAGGTACTCCAGTGTGGTTCCAGGCATCACAGGGAGTTAATTGTTAAACCAAATGCCTGTCCCTGGAAGTTTTTAATTATGAGAGTGCCAGAATAAGATTTGAACTTTAGAAAAATAACTCTCCTGATTATTAGGAGGGTAAATGAAGAGGTGGAGAGTCTTGGGAGTGGGAGGCCTTTAGGACAGTGATTCAAACCTTTTTTTTTTTAATTTAAGAACTTATTAAGAAAAAATTAAGATATTTCTGAACAACGTTTTACTTTCACTTAAAATGTAAATACTAAGTACATGATAATGGGGAAGTTTTGCTTTTTTTTCATTTGCTTCTGTTTCACTTTAACTTTTGCAATGAGATTTTTTTTTTTAATTGAAAAAAAAAAATAAAGTATCAAGCATTATGGCACAGGGGTTTAAGTTGCCACTTGGGGGCCAGTGCTGTGGCATAGTAGGTTAGGCCTCTGCCTGTGGTGCCAGCATCCCATATGGGTGCCGATCTGAGTCCCAGCTGCTCTGCTTCTGATTCAGCTCTCTGCTAATGGCCTGGGGAAGCAGCAGAAGATGGCACAAGTGTTTGGGCTCCTACACCCATGTGGGAGATACAGAAGAAGCTCCTGGCTTTGAGTCAGCCAGCTGCAGCCATTGCAGCCATTTGGGGAGTGAACCAGCAGATGAAGATCTCTCTGTCTATAACTCTGCCTCTCAAATAAATAAATAAATCTTTATATAAAAAAAGTGTCACTTAAGACACCCGCATCCTATATTGGAATACCTTGTTCAAGTCCTGTCTGTGCTGCTGCGGGTTAATGTCTGTTAGATCGTAACTCCCTGTAGCATAGAGAATTTATTTGACAGGTAGAGTTACAGACAGTGAGAGAGAGAGAAAGACAGAGAGAAAGGTCTTCCTTCCGTTGGTTCACTCCCCAAATGGCTGCCACGGCTGGTGCTGTGCCAATTTGAAGCCAGGAGCCAGGCACGTCCTCCTGGTCTCCCACATGGGTGCAGGGGCCCAAGCACCTGGGCCATCCTCCACTGCCCCCCCGGGCCACAGTAGAGAGCTGGACTGGAAGAGGAACAACTGGTATTAGAACCTCGTGCCCATATGGGATGCTGGCACCGCAGGTGGAGGATTAACCAAGTGAGCCATGGCGCTGGACCCTGCTCTGTGCTTCTGATCCAGCTATCTGCTAATGCATCTGGGTGGCAGTGAGTGATGGCCTAAGTACTTGTGTTCCTCCAAGCCACATGGGGGTTCCAGGTGGAGTTCCTGGCTTCTGGCTGTCGTAGGAACTTGGAGAGTGAACCAGTGGAAAATCTTTTTTTAAGTAAAATATTTTTTTCCCAAAGTGAGAAAATGCAGATTTTTACAAATTTGTATTACTTCCTTGAATAATGGTCTTGAATTATTACTTGAATAATGGACTTGAATATTGAAAACTTAGGAAAACTTGCCACACTGAGGAACACCAAAGCAGCTTCCTTATCTTTCAGACTTCTTGACTCCACATGGTGCATTGAGGCTACAAAGTGTATATCAATGAATAATTGCTTAAGGTTGGTAATGGCATTGTAGATTATGTAGGAGAATATCCTTGTTTTTGGGAGATACATGTACAGGTATTTAGGGATAAAGTAACATTAATACCTGCAATTTACTTAAAGTGTTTCAGTGGTGGAAAATATATAAGATAGGGAGAGTCAGAAAGAAAGAAAATTTGGCAAAATGTTAGTAATTTACAAATCTAGGTGAAAGGCATATAGTTGTTGATTTTACTTGAACTCCTCTGGGCAATTTCAGTTAAAAGTTGGGGGACAAGACATTTTAGGAGACTGGGCATTTAGGCACATCCCACATCAGCGTACCTGGGTTTGATCTCTGATTCTGGCTTCCAGCTATTAGCACCCTGGGAGGTAGTGGTGATTGATGGCTTAAGTAAGTTGGTTCCTATCACTCTTTTTTTTTTTTTTTTTTGACAGGCAGAGTGGACAGTGAGAGAGAGAGAGACAGAGAGAAAGGTCTTCCTTTGCCGCTGGTTCACCCTCCAATGGCCACCGCAGCCAGTGCGCGGTGGCCGGTGCACCACGCTGATCCGATGGCAGGAGCCAGGTACTTATCCTGGTCTCCCATGGGGTACAGGGCCCAAGTACTTGGGCCATCCTCCACTGCACTCCCGGGCCACAGCAGAGAGCTGGCCTGGAAGAGGGGCAACTGGGACAGAATCCGGTGCCCCGACCGGGACTAGAACCTGGTGTGCCGGCGCCGCTAGGTGGAGGATTAGCCTAGTGAGCCGCGGCGCCAGCCTCCTATCACTCTTGTGCAAAGTGTGGCTCCGGTCTTTGCCCTAGGCCCTTGCAGGCATTTTAGGGGTTGGGGGAGTAAACCAGCAAATGGGAGCTCACTCTCTTTTTCCCTCTGCCCCCAAGTTAAAATTTTAAGGTTTTTGTTTTGTTTTGTTTTGTTTGTTTGTTTGTTTGTTTGTTTTTTTAATCTGAGTGACACAGAGAGATCCTCTATCCACTGGTTTACTCCACAAATGCCGCAACAACCAGTGTTGGGCCATGCTGAAGCCAGGAGTCTTCAACTCCATCAAGGTCTCCTACGTGTATGGTAGGAACCCAAGTACTTCAGCAACATCTCCTGCCTTCAGGTCCATTGGCAGGAAGCTGGTTTGAAAGCAAAGGTGGGACTCAATCCCCAGCACTCCAGTATTGGATGTAGGCAATTCTAAGAAGCAGTTTAACCCACTGCACCACAATGCCCACGCTCAAAAAATTTAAATTCAAAAGAAAGAACAGGGGCCAGCACTGTAGCGCAGCAGGTTAAGGCCCCAGCCTACAGTGCCAGCATCCCATATGGGCACTGGCTTGAGTCCTGGCTGTTCCACTTCTGATCCAGTTCTCTACTGTGGCCTGTGAAAGCAGTAGAAGAAGGCCCAAGTCCTTGGGCCCCTGCACCCATGTGGGAGACCCAGAAGATGCTCCTGGCTCCTGGCCTTGGATCAGCTCAGTTCTGGCCATTGCGGTCATTTGGGGAGTGAACCAGCAGATGGAAGAGCTCTCTCTCTCTCTCTGGCTCTACCTCTCTCTGTAACTCTGTCTTTCAAATAAATAAAATAAATCTTTTTTAAAAAAAGAACATTTGGAAATAGAAAGTGTAGACAAATCTTTGGAAGGCATTTCTATCACTGAGCTGGAATAGTCTTTCCTACTGGCAGGTAAGCCTATAGCAGAAGCAAATCTACTAGAAAATCACATTTTTAAGCAGGAAGATGATAATCATATCTGAAGATTATTTAATTTTTTATGTCCCAAAATAAAATCTACTCCTACTCCCAGGAACATATTGGTTTGCTGAATCTGGTGGATTATGATTCCTAAATATCTCAGCGCTCTATCCTCTTTGGAAAAGGAGCTTAGAGAATATAGTGGTGGTTCAAAGCCATGGGCTTTGGCTCCACCACTAAAAAGCCAAGTGGCTTTCAGTTTCTTCTTCTGTAAGGCTTTAGACAATTAAATGAATTATTGCATGTAAAAGCACTTAACAAAATGTTTGATACACAATAAAAGCCAAATAAGCATTAATTCTTATAACTACACCCTTACTGTCACTAATTCTAAGATTACTTGTTGAAAACAAGGGTGGAGTTAGCAAAGATATGCTGAAGTCCTCAGGAAACTGAGACATCAGGGAACAGCAGTCAGCTAATGGCTGCCTCCTCAGCCACAGAATGCGGAATATCCTGTCATCTCCCAGGGGACACAAATTAGGGAGGGGCGGAAGTTCAGTTGACTTCCCAGCACACCATACTGTGCCTTTTCACCTAGAATCCATGCTGGGTGACATTACTCACTTTTTCTGCTGAAACACTTTAAAATAATTTGCAAACATTACATTGCTTTACCCCTAGGTTCTTACAGCTATCTTCCAAGACCAAAGATATTACCTTACGTAATCCACAAGGATGTTATCAATCCCAAGAAATTAGAACAGAACAGTCTTTCTTTTTCTTTTTGGACTTTTTAAACATTGATACTTATCAAGAGAATAATTGTAGAGAATTATCAAAAGAATATTGTAGAATATCCCACAATTAGACACTGTCTGATTGTTTCTTCATGATTTGATTTAGGGTAAAACATTTTGGGTCAGAATTCTGTTGAACATGCCGTGTCCAGTTCTCTCTTGGACTCATTTTCCAGTGGTGCCTGTCCCCACAATTCCAGCAACATTGCATCATGATGGGCACTGGTACCCATGCTGTCGAATCTGGTACTCAGTCCTCATCTTATTGAAGTGTTAGGAGCTTTGATAAGTTGATCAGAGTCCAATTTTTGAAGGGAGGTGGACAGGAACAGAGACAGAAGAGACAGGGACAGGGAGCGAACCACCTCCACTGGTTCAGTCCCCAAATGCCTGGGAGCTAGGAACACAATCCAGGTTCCCATGTGAATGGCAGGGATCCAACCATCTGAGCTACCACTTAACTGCTTCTCCTTCTCAGGGTGCACATTAGCAGGAAACTTGAATTGGAATGGACCTGGGACTTGAACCCAGGAGCCCATGTGGGGTGTAGGCATCTCAAGTGTTATCTTAACTGCTGTTCCAAACCCTGTTCCATATATTCTATTTTGAAGCATTTTCTTTATTTATCTTTAGGGATTGCTCATCCTTGGCTTTTACCACCTACCTCACTGACCCTGCCTCCTTAATGCTCATTTGCTGAATTCCCATACCCTACTCATTTTTAAACACTAAAGTACTTCAGGGTTCAGTTCTTGACCCTATTCTAATTCTGTACTTACTGGATGATTCCATCTAGTCTTGTAGGTGTTGTACTCTTCCTTTCCTGAACATCGTCCAGACTTCACAGCTGCCTGAGATTTCTAATGGGCGTTTCAAATTAAATCTCTGAAACTGAACTTAAATTTTTCTCCCAAGTCTACCTCTTTCACAGTCTTCTCTTTTGTTAATTGCCAGCTCCATCCCTTGTCTTGGTAAACTTACTAGGGGAGCATTTTTATAAGGAGGTACTCTGTAAACTTATTTTTCAAGCTTTCCTTTCTCCTGGAAATGCCATTTACTTCTAAGGCATTGGGTACCATGACTATAAAATTGCTTTGTAGTATTAGAACTGCCACAGAAACCAGAAAGCTAATTGCAAATTACATTGCTGCAGTGCTGGAAAATCTGATTTCATAATAAGAGTGGACTCCATCAAAGCTTCTCAGATAAGAGCTATTTATAAGTAACTTTGTGCCACATGTAAGCAGATGCACAAGGGTAAAGGAAATGGCTTTGAAGAGCCAGATGATCTACTTGAATGGGCAGCCTGAAACTATATCTCATTTCATATGTAAAAGGGAAGTTCTGTACAGTGCCATTGACTTTTCCACTGGAAGTTCAGAGTTGAAATGTTCTTGATTTATTTTAGGTATGACCAATGGTTTGCTGATACTGTCTCCTAAGCACTATGTTCATGTCCACCCCATTGGTCTCTGAAAACAGGGCAGGATGGGAGTATTGACACCACAGAAATGAGGGAACACTGCAGATGAGGGTTCTCTCCAACACTCTGTAGCTATTAAATAATTATCAGCATGCCACTGGTTGACCATTACATGAAATTCTTATTATATAGACTGAAAAAAAAATGGTTGTATATTAGCAATTTGATTAGTTTCAAACTAGTAATTCTGCAACATATTGTCAGAACAATAAGCTGATAAAAGAATCTGAAAATCAGTTTATCTCTTGGAAAAATCTCAATATTACATAAGTGTGAAATCCAACTTTAGAGTTAATTGAAATTTTACAAAGATGATTCAGTCTAGTCATCTGCATTGCTTGTAGAAAAACATTAGATCCAAAACATATTTATATATACTCTATATTTATCCATTTTCCTTTACAAATATGTTATTTCTGGGGTGGGCGTTTCGTGTAGCAGTTAAGATGTCACTTGGAACACCTGCATCCCATATCAGAGTTCTGATCAACCCCTGGCTCCACGCCCCATTCTGGCTTCCTGATAATATGTACTCTGGAAGGCTGCAGATGATGACTCAAGTACTCTATCCCTGCCACCCACCTAGGATACATGGATTGAGTTTCCAGATCCTGGCTTTCGCTGGTCCAGCCCTGGCTGTTGGCAATTGTGTCAGCAGTAGACAGGCAGAAGGAAGATGGATCTGTCCCTCTCTTCCTCTTTCTGTCTCACATTCTATGTTTCTGTCTCTCTCTCTGTCTTTCAAAGAAAAGGAAAATGAAAATAATAAATACACTTTAAAATATGCTGTTTCCTGTTCCCACTGGTGGATTTGGGAAAAGCCATTCCTTTTTCTTGCTAGTTTATAGGTTTGACAAGCACTTTATCACTCTTCGCTTTGTCAGTCACCAGGAAAATGGAGGTAGTAATCTATATATAGAATACCTATAGAATACCTTTTTTTTTTTTTGCTAGAGATCTAGTAAGAAGCAGTGAAAACTTCTGAATTTAAAAGTACCTTAGAATGAATCTCTGAAATGACAAGCCTCAACTGGAAGCAGTCCTGAGTCTCTGAACTCTGTCTAGAGTTCTTTATACTTTCAGCACTTTGTACATACTCTAAGCATCATTACTCAACTGTTAGCACATGGCCTAGCCTTTTCTTAAATATCAAAACAGAACTAAAAGTCAGAGTCCCACTAGGTCTTCGGCCACCAGATTGTGAAATAGTTATGAAATCAGTGAAGTGTTAAGATCTCACGTGCTGTGAGATATTTCTACTTTCTAGTTTATAATAAACAATCATTTTTTGCTCATGTTATACCTTTATAAACTCCTCTAGCATTTTCCTCATTCTTTAGAGAGTTCTTACTTCTAAACGCTAATGAATCAGAGACTTGGTTTGACTTGAAGTAGGACAGGGAGAATGAGATTGTGTGAAGACCAAAGAATGTCTGTGTTTGCTTAGTTTTGAGATGAGTGAATTTGTTCTGTGCTCACAATCAAATTTCTTCTGAACTGGTGAAGATAATTAGAATTTTCTTAGTTTGATATCAGAAACAGTTTCAAAATAGTGGTTAATTTCTGCCAAATTTATCTTTTCATCTAAATGTTAATTTTATTTTCTCTTTATTAATTTTTTTAACAGATAGCAGAATCCTATTTTCAGGAGGAGGACTGTATCCTTTTTTTAATTACAGGAAGAAATTCATAGAACTCTTAGAGTTTTTAATGTTGAGGTATCTACAATAAAATGTGCAAATCATATGGTTTGAGCGGATTTTGACAGTTCTAATACCCATGAAACCACCTCCGAAAGCAAAGTGTATAGAATTTCTGTCACCCTTGAAAATTCTGTAGAATCAACCAAATTTGACTTCCCATAAATAAGCCTTAATTCTAACCAAAATTAACTTGCTGGAAAATGAAATTTTAAAATGTCATCAATTTTCATTTTTTTATTAAACATACATACAAATCAAGTAATATTCATACAGAAAAGCATGTTAGGTATATTAAAGCTATATAGCTACAGAGAGAAGGTTAATTCTTCACTAGCAAAAAGCACAATAAATGTCAAGTGAGATCTTCTGTTAACTTTTGTATAGAAAAGATTTCTTTCCTCATTTATTTTAAAATTTCAAAAATTGCTTTTCTCATGGGACAGTGGCCCAGTATGTGCTATCTAGAAAGAGTGTATTATCAACATCTGTTTTCCCTATTCATGTCATTTACTTCCCTAACCTTGTTGACTTGTACCACATCTCTGACCAGATTGAAGGGTAAGCAGTTACCATCTGGAATCCTGTCAAGAAAATGTGATGCAGCGTCAGACAATAGCAGTTTATTACTGAGTGCGTTGGAAATCTAGTTCTGCAAATAAAGATGGAACCCTCCCTCCCTTTATCTCCCGGATAGTGCAGTGTAGACCCATCAGCATCAGCATCCCTGGGAGCTTCTTGGAAATGCAAATTCTTGGTACTCAGAATCAGAGCTTTTAGAGAATCAGACCCATGAATCTGAACTGAACACATTTTTCAGATAATTTTTAAATTCAGTCAAGTCTGAGGAACACTGGTATACTTTTAGGTATAGAAGGTATACTTTTAGGTATGGAAGGTAGAGGAGAGGAAACATTCTAGTTTCTCCTTCACCTCTTTTGTGATTTGTGGGATCTTTAAGACTACAAATTAGAGGGAGAACTAAACTCTGAGTGCTCATGGGAAACATGAAAAGCTAAACTGTGAGTTTTTCTCTTTCTTGTTCCTATGTCAGCATTTAGAACATTGCCCAAAGGAAGGTAGGCAATTGGACAGTGTATCTTCATCTTAAAAGATGCAAGTATGAAAAAAAAAAAGGCCGACACCCGGCTCAATAGGCTAATCCTCCGCCTGCGGCGCCAGCACAGTGGGTTCTAGTCCTGGTCAGGGTGCCGGATTCTGTCCCGGTTGCCCCTCTTCCAGGCCAGCTCTCTGCTGTGGCCCGGGAGTGCAGTGGAGGATGGCCCAAGTCCTTGGGCCCTGCCCCACATGGGAGACCAGGAGAAGCACCTGGCTCCTGGCTTTGGATCAGTGCGGTGTGTCGGCCACAGCGGCCAGCGGCCATTGGAGGGTGAACCAACGGTAAAGGAAGACCTTTCTTTTTGTCTCTCTCTCACTGTCCACTCTGCCTGTCAAAAATTAAAAAAAAAAAAGATGCAAGTATGTGGCCAGCGCTGCGGCTCACCAGGCTAATCCTCTGCCTGTGGTGCCAGCACCCCAGGTTCTAGACCCGGTTGGAGCGCCGGTTCTGTCCCGGTTGTTCCTCTTCCAGTCCAGCTCTCTGCTGTGGCCCAGGAAGGCAGTAGAGAATGGCCCAAGTGCTTGGGCCCTGCACCCGCATAGGATACCAGGAGGAAGCTCCTGGCTCCTGGCTTCGGATCGGCGCAGTGCACTGGCTGTAGCAGCCATTTGGCAAGGGGGGGTGGTGGTGGTGGTGAATCAACGGAAGGAAGACCTTTCTCTCTGTCTCTCTCTGTCTAACTCTGCCTGTC